ATAAACATAAAAAAATATTGTAAACTTTTTGCTAAAGTTATTTATTCTAAAATTAATATTATAACTTTTTATCTTATTTAGCGGTTGTATTTTTAAATAAGTTAATTTATTTTAATGTTATAGTAAAATTTCTTAAAATCGCATAATCAAATATTATAATAAATTTAATATTTTTAAGCTAATAAATTGGTGATCTCTCAAAATTGCATTATTTATTATATTTTATGTAATTAATATAGTGGTTCATATGCAATCAAATAGTTATGTACTATTTATTTTAACCAATGATCAAATTTTAAAACATAATATCATTATTTAACTTATATTTTTATTATTATATGCATAAATATAACTTATAATACTCTATGTTTAAAATATAATAGCATTGTATAACTTATAATTTTAATACTATATGCATAAATATAACTTATAATATTTGTGCAAATGCACAGGGTCGAATACTAGTTAAATTAATCAACGAACGTTAGATATTAAACATGGGAGATAATTCGAGCAATTTAACAGAAGATGAATTAATTATAATTCGGAGCTAAATGAGAAGTGCAATAATATTTCTTTAGTAAAATGAAATATTGTTCAAATATGAGCAGAGTGTGTTTGGCCCACTATTAGGCCTATACTTGGGGAGCTCATATTTAGCACTTTCTTAGGGTCTTTGTTGTAGCTTATATATGCACAAAATCCTTATCCTCCAAGACACACATATTCACACGCACAAGTTCTCCAATTCTTGTGCAAAAGTGTTCCACACGTGAAGCAAAAGAAAGATAGAAANAGCGCGCAAACCCGCGCCTACCGCGTCTGTCCCGCGTCCAGCAGCCTCAGCCCGTGTCAGTGGCGTGCCAGTGCACGCCCAGTGCACCCAGCGACCCCAGACCCGTGTCAGCCAGTACCGTGTGACCCCTGGCCATGCGCCCAACGCCTACTCGCGCCAGTCCGCGCCGTGCCGTGCTGATGCGAATGTGGGTTTCGAGGTCCGAGGACGCC